AATATTAGTGTTGCCATACCGATACCATACCAATACCATCTGTTTGAAATAGATGCGTGTGTGTGTGTATACATGAAGAACTGCATACTAATTGGATGTAAAATAATTGCCATCATGGCTTTGTCAAGCTGCTGCCTACCTTTGTGAAGCAGTAAAAAGACAAATACAAAGTGAATCCAGTAGAACTTTTCATGCCTACCTTGAATAGGTGAAAATAGCTGAATAAACTTTTGGCTCTCATAATGGTATTGGTGTCCTATTTGTCAGGACTTGCCAATACTGACACCACCATTTTAGTGCTGGTGCTGGATCGGGGCCCTGTCCGATACTGGTATCGGTGCAACACTAATTTATATGACGATAATTGGGGCAGTTTTACATTGATAGCGAAAAATGCACAATTAATACTCCGGCTCCTCTATCAGAAATAAAGGCATGGTGAGAAAATGCAACTTATCTATTCATAATTTATCGAACAAATCACATTATATCCATCCCTCCATCCATTTTCTGACACTTTAAACCCAATTGAGATCGCGAGGGGTGCTGGTGCCTATCACCAGCCATCTATGGGCAAGAGGCAGGGTACACCCTGGACAGGTCGCCAGTCCATCGCAGGGCAACACAGAGACAAACAGGACAAACAACCTTTCATGCACACTCACACCATCACATTACACATTACTTTCAAATAAATATTAAAGTCTTGTACCAACTCAGGTTTAAACATTCAACATTGTCTCACTGAACAGGAGAAAAATGTTTCCTCTCTTGCAAACATCTTTGTACAAAGGTAATGGAGCCTCTTGCATATCTTTGAATTGAACAGCATTGTTGTGTTGTAGGTGGTGGAAGTTTGATGCGTTACTTTGGGTAGTCCCAACAGTTTTCAGACAAACTTTGCATTTTGTGTTCTTTTGATCCACATCTATGGCGTAATTTTGGTGCCACCGAACTGAGCATGCAGTGACAACAAATTGCATCAATTAAACTTGTACGCCCTCGCTGCCGTGAGCTCAATTCTGACAGCGTGTTTTTCTCTGCATGCTCAGCTTAATCTCAGCTCTTGCCCGACTCCACAGGAATAACTGCTGTTATTTAATTTACAGCTGTGTTAGACGCTTCTTCATTGGATTCATCCACCATTCTCTTTGTTTACGCTTCTGAATGGATCGGTGGAGTCACGTGATTAGACACACTGCAGTGTATTAAAAGGGAAGGAAACACCAGCCACCAATGCACACCGGAAAAACAGCAGAATCATGTTTATTTTATTTTTTACCAACATCGGAAAATTGTCGGCGGTTATCGTAGTAAATGGCGGTAACGCTAAAAATCCAGTTTATTGCCCAGGCCTGAGCAAGGGTGACTCAAGTCTGGTCATATAATTATCTTCTTTAAAGGTTATTTTTATGTTGGAGAAGTTAGAGATTGTATGTGTATCTGGTAGTTTCCTTTGCAGGCATCTTTCTATTTAACATATTTTATCTTTTATTCGGACCAAGCTCTAGCACATTTTTCTTTTCTCAGGACATTTAGACACATTTTTTTCAATACTAAACTATTGCTGTCACTGAATAGGATAATAAACTCATCTTAATCCTAAAATATCTTTAATCAAGATAAATTCAGCTGAACCTTTTACTAAAGGACGTCTTCATTTGGACAAAGATCCCAAACGGATGCCAATCTAGATGGAGTTGAATAAAACTAAAGCAATTTGTGTTTTTTATTAGCCTTGTTCGAGTTCAAACAAAATCTGGTTCCAAAAAAACAAATTGTATCCAGGATTTGGCTTTTCTGTGTTCAACTAGATGTGATTTTTTTTTCTCTGTCATTAAACAAAGTTCCTCCATGTGATTCCATATTGTGTAGATGTCAACTTAATGTCTCTGGAAATAAACTGGATCTATCTGTCTTATGAAATGGAGTTTGACAACTGGTTGAAGAAGCAAGAAAAATGAAATATGTTTAAGCTTTATATTTGAAACTATATAATAAATTAACATTTTGATGATGCTCGTAAATCTGCATATGGTCTAGTTTATTCTGTTTAAAGAGATATTTTGTATGACTTTTCTGAACAACATCTTTAAAATCACCTTTTTATTTGAACCTTTATGAGTAAAACATTGTTTAATGAGCAAACTGACATCTCATTAGTGGAGAGCCAATGCATCTATAAGCCTGTAGCCTATTTTCCTTAATTAGGTTCTGGAAGTTCCAGCATTATTCAGTGGATGGTACTTCAAACACGTCTATGTTGAATGGGTCCGACTTGGCAAACAATTGAAGCGTTCTATTCAAGGTTGATTTTGTGGATACTAAGAAGCGACCGGCATTCAGCTTTACTCAGGCACTAATGGTAACTCCACGTAAAGTGAAAAGTAAAAAAAATAAAATAAAGATCCTTCTCAAGTATTAGCGTGCACAACGAGAACAAGTAGAAGAGTGCTTCAGTTCTGTGTTCATTGGAAAACTGTGTAATGCCCCTTTAATTTAACAAGAAAGGACTGTGGTAGAACATTTAATAGAAAAGAAAATTTAAATGCTCAAAAGAGAATGCACACAAGTGAGAAACCGTACAGTTGTGATTTATGTGGAAAAAGATTTAGCGAGAAATCAAATTTAAAAAGACACATAAAAATCCACATGGGAAAGAAACCTTTCGATGGTGATCTGTGTGGACAAAAACGTAGCTTAAAAACAAGCTTAAAACTGACTTAGCAGCAGATTTGTGATTTCAGTGCGCATTTGCTTTATAAGTATTTTACTTACATAAGAGATCAAACTATTGGACACTGTTTTAGATTTCTCTGGATAATTTTGCTGTATAAACACTGTTAATTATAAGTGGGAGAAAATGCAATTATCATTTGCCAAACATTTACATCTATATATGTATATGAATAACAGAGACAGGGCTGTCAAGTCAACAGGTTTTAGTTGTGTCACAGTTCATAAAAAATATCCTGAATTCAAGGAATGTTCATCACAAGGTTGAAAGAGTCAATAAAGGATTTTTTTTTATGTTAACAACAAGGTTAAGACATGCAACTATGCTGACCAGAGAAACACTTAGCAGATATTTATTAAAACTGTTCAGATAAATTAAACTGAGTAGGAGGAAAAAAGACCTAAGTGCTCCCCTAGATAAACTCACACACAGAACCATGATGAAATTCCCTTCTGGCGAGTGTCTTCAGCACTTAAAATAAAGCGTAAATCTCAGAGACAAGATAGATTAAGTTCACCTGTAGTTTTGAGGGCAAGGATACAAGGATCTCCTCACAGAAGACAATAATAATAGAAAATAAGAATATCATAAAATAATAACAAATAGAATTAAAAAAAAATTATAAATGAAATCAGTAAAGTATTAGCACGCTAACCTTCACAGAAAAAATTAATCCGGTTAGCCCAACACCTTAAACAAAAGAAACAAAAAAATAATGTAAAAGAAATGGCTTTACTTCCTGACAGATAAAGGTTCAATATTTACTCTGTTTCTACATCTCTTCCCCCTGGTTCTCATCCTTTAGGGATCAAGTGAATCAGTTAACAGTAAAACAATAATAACTACTGATTTAAAACATTTCTTTAGTAAAGTACCTATTTATCCAACCTAAAGGGAAGTGAACGACCTATGTATCACAAGGCAAGTGTCTTAAGCTTCTCTTGTGATCATCTAATACACATTAACAGCAATGTATATGAAATAGTTACATATATTTAGCACTGATCAGGGGTTTTCTGACTTAAAGGTAATCTCCCTCTCTGAATTAGCTACGGTTATTCAGCTTTAGAACCTTGTATTCTGCTTTGACCAAACACTTGAATGACCGCAGGGATTTTCTATGCTTGTTTTAAATCAACAGTTGTATTCCCAATTTTGAAAAGGCCTGGATTAGATGTATTTGAAAAAAAGAAAAATCACATGGCTGAAATTTTTTTTTCCGGACATGTTTTGAGTGACTTGAAATCATGCTGATTTATTAGTCACTAAATTATCATGATAGGGCAGCATTTGGTTCTGTATCAGTTTTATTATCCACAAAACTGGACCGTATCAAGCATTACAATGAAGAAAACATGCCATTAGAACCCCTAAAACATCAGCAATATGTAAATTACTTACTTTTACTAGTAACTAGTTACCTTTATTGTGGAGTAACTCAGTTAGTAACTCAGTTACTTTTTGGGCGAAGTAACTAGTAACTATAACTAATTACTTTTTCAAAGTAACGTGCCCAACACTGGAAGTCACTAGCCGCAATATTGGTTAAAAAAAATAATAATAAAGTTAAGATTTCTTTTGCTCTGACCCTCTTAAAATGTTCCAACACACAAAAAATGAGCTCATGCTAAATTTCAAGAATTTTGTCTTTTTCACTAAAACATTTAATTTGGATTTTTTAAAAATTGAAATAAGTCTACTTTTAATACATTATGCAAGTGTGGATAAGATTGCTCGACTATTGACGTTTTGCAGTATATTCAATCAGCTTGAGCTACCTCTTAATATAGATATATTGAGGCAATAATTTGCATACGATGTTTCCTCAATATATGGAATGTTTAAACTGGGTCAGACAATAAAATATGAAAACTTAAAAAATAAGGACCACCCTAATGTACATGTAATATAATGTACTGATTACATGGTTATGGTAATTACGTTACATATCAGACATTTTTATGACACGACTCTGTGAAATTGAGGAGTACCAAGATGGCGGCAGGGTTTTTTTTTTGTGTATCAGCAATCCAATGAATAAATAGAGATCAGTGGGAACAATTCCTTTACATTTAGAAAAATACGGGCAAATGGAGCCTCCCCAAAAGAGAGACAATATTTGTGTGTTTGTTTGTTTAAATCAAGGACTATATTGTAAAATATAGTACTGTTTTCTTTATCCCACTAACGTTTTAATTAGAGTTGTATTTCTTACAGGCTGAGGGGGGCAGTATTGAACCTCAACCTGCCTATACTGGCTGCCTCGAAAATCATAGAACAAGAAGACCCAGATCGATCCAGATGAAAGCTGCTCCTCCATTTTACCTCTCCTTCTAGTTTGGATGAAGCTGAGCTCTGAGCGCAATAACTGTTAAAGGACAGTTAAAACGAAGCTGCGAACACAGATCAGGGGGCAGCAGCTCCAGCGGTGGTGGATCACAGCAATGGCGGACATTTCTGAAGCAGTGAAAGAAGAGTATAAAGAATACAAGCTGGACGACAACATCCTGGAGGCTGGTGAGTTCAGGCACAACGATTACATCTGTATGGTTTCCTGTTGATTTCACTGTAGAGACATTTTCGACGACTTTCTTTTACACAAATATTTACCGTAGACATAAAAGAGCTAATGGCTCAATGCTCGATAGAAACGACCCACGTCCGCCATGTTGTGAGTGGCATGTGTGTTTGGAAAAGATACAAGCTGTTTAGGGACAGGGATTTTAGTATAAAAAAATATTGATAGGTTTCAGATTATCCAGCTAAATCATTTGCTTTATAATAAAGTAGTTTATCAAACTAACTTCTTTATTTCGAGAGAAAATTATGGTTTATACTATGGCTGCAACTAAGGATTATTTTACAATTCGATTAATCTGTCCATCATTTTTTCGATTAATTGATTAATAATCGGTTAGCTAAAGATTCCTTAAAGAAGACTTTTTACAAACTAAAACGATTCCACTTGAGGAGTTCAGGATAGAGCAAATTGACATACAAAAAAAGTTTTTTTTTTTTATCTTAAATGCTAAAATTATATATATATATTTTTCTTTTATACAAATTTGGTATAATTAATTCTGAAAGGTTGTTTGATTTGTCACCAAAAGGTATATTTTACAGTCTCTAAACTCCAGTTAACGATTGAATGATTACTAACTAGTTGAAGATTATTTCATTAATAGGTTAATATGGATTAATCTGGTTAATTTTCTCAGCCCTAGTTTACACACACATTCTGGTGCTTTGTCGAGCTTTGTCGAGACTTCCACAGTTGGAAATAAGAAAACTCAGACAGGTCAAGTGTAGCATTCCTGCATAATTAAACCCAGCTTGGTTTTTCTTTACTGCTTACTCATTTACTTATAACTCCAGGGAGTTAGAAAGTAGAAAACAGCAGACAGAAAATAATTAAATGGTTTTTTTTTCAATGGGACACAGGTTTTCGGCAAACATTTTATTGGCTTCAGGATGAACTGGCTGGCTCTTTCAGCACTCCCATGGTGCTGAGAAGAGAAAACAAGATGATCACTTTTCTAAAAATATAGGGCAGTGCACATTCAATGCACTCAAAAGTCAATCATCAGCATCAACCTTTGCACTGGTAAACATAAGTGCTGAAATCAGACTGACTGAAGTAACCAAAACAAAACATGTCAGTTATACAAATAGACATTTTACCAGAATACACATGCATCATACTTTTAGCTAGCAATGCATAAGGTCGTACGATGTACGGTCTTTACTTAAAAAAAAAAAAAAAAAAAAAAAAAAAAAAAAAAAAAAAAAAAGACAAATTGTACGCCCTGTTGTTCTTCTGGAAACTTTGCTGAAATGTTCAAAATTTCACATGCAGCAGATGCTGGAAGTGTAAAAATTGAAAATCAGCTGCTCTACGTGCCGCCAGCCAATCAGAGAAGCTGATCTGGGAGATGGCAGGGAGATGGACATTGACTTTGATCACTCCTCTGAAACAGTTTATTAACGCCTAAATTAATTTAAACTGCCAGCAAAATACGTTCATTTTTATTATTTCGGTGCTTGCAGTTTGAGGCACATAAAAGAAAAATGCTAACATCTACTCCAAGCCGCCATGAACAATAGGGGAAAACTCCCAAGAGGTGAACTGGCCTGAGGCGGCTGCCTGGGATTCCCAGTGACAGCACACTGAACAGCAAAATAATATTTTAATACAGGATCATAATCTTGATGTACTGACTTTACATACTATGTTTTTAGGTGGACTTGCTTGCATAAAAACTAATTAAAACCACTTTTTACCCACTGATCACAGCAAATATAGCAAAGTCACTCTCTGCCATTTGACACAGGAGCATCAGAAGCATCAGATGCATCAGTACATGACTTAACTGAATCAAAAATGAAGCAGCAGGCCCTTTTTTGATGCTCAAATCATGGTGTGTGAACGTAGCATTAAGCTTTCTGATCAGTTGAATTAACTTATGAAATTTAAAAATGTACCAAAAAATGATCTAATGTGTTCCTTATGAATTTTCCACCCTAGTCAAGCACAAATATTTCCCATAAGAGCAGTGATGTGACAAAGACAAAAAGTCTTTTAATTAAATTCTAAATCATAACTATGTTTAATAAACCTATATTACTTTTAACTGTAAATTTGTTTACATTTAACATAATGGCTCAGTCAATTAATACGTTCCTTAAAAATATATGAAAGCAAATTATTATTTATATATTTTTTTCTGGTAAAAACATCCTTGGCTGGTAAATCATTTTATCTTTCTGTCCACTTGGCCGGTGAGTCAACAAGTTACTTTGGTTGCAGCTAGCGTGCAGATCAACGCTCTTCAACCTTTTACCACATTTCAGGCTTCAAACATAAGCATATACAATTTAATTTTTTTGCGAAGAATCAACAAGCAGGACAATAGGAATAAATAATTATTTGAAAGAAACAAGATTCAAAATACTTTTCATTTGACCTTCAAACTTACAGCACATCCAAGATGTTAAATAGTTTTAAGTTGGGTCTTGAGAGGGATTGTTGATAAAGATAAACAATATGAGATAAAGGATGAGGAAAAATTGTAATGAAATCATAAAATTAAATATAAATAATGTATTAAATATTATTTTTTTGTTTAAAATAAAACACAGTCCAGGCTGAAGTCAGAATAATCTCCAATATGCATGTGATTTAATGTTTTCTGCAGATATCCACCAGATGTCGATGGTTCAAGAAGGAGTTCCTGTAGGCCACAGACCTTGTGCTGACCTTCATGACCCCAACCCCCATGACATAAAAGAGGAACAAGAAGAGGTCCATGTCAGTCTGGGGGGACAGCGGCTCAATGGGAAGGAAGTGATTGATGCCATCCCGTTTTCAGTAACTGCTACTCCTGTAAAGACTGTCGACGATAACCAGTCCCCTCTGTCCTCACAACATTATCCAGACCAAATAAAAGATGGGATACAAAGTCAAGGAGATATGGCTGCTTCTTTTAAGATGGAAGATACTGAGGAGGAGGAAGGGAACACTAATATCAAGCACTCTGTCTCTGAGCTGCAACACTTATCAGATGCTGGACTTAAAACAAACCATATGGATGGAGCTCCTCAGTCAGATGGAAGTATTAACAAGCCTTTTAGCTCTTCTGAATTTGCTGAGCATTTTCTTCACTATTGCTTGCTTCAAAAAGACACGATTGATTCGAAAATGGGGTCTTCAAGCTTGCAAGATAATACAAATTTTACAGAGAAGAAGAAAGTGGACTCTGGAAAGAAATTGCAGGAAGGTTTGAAATTTAGTTGTGATGACTGTGGTAAAATATTTGATAGAAAACAAAACTTAGAGATTCATAGGCAAATTCACACAGGACATAAACCTTACGGTTGTGATATGTGTGTAAAAAGATTTGGCCATAAAGCCAATTTGAAGGCCCACATTAAAGTCCACAGAGAACAGAAACCTGTCTTTTGTGATGTGTGTGGACGAAGATGTAACCGAAAAGCAACTTTAAACAGGCACATGAGAGTCCACACTGGAGAGAAACCTTATTGTTGTGATCTCTGTGGACAAAGATTTAGCACCAAAGGAAATTTAAACACACATGTGAGAATCCACACTGGACAGAAACCTTTCTGTTGTGATCTGTGTGGACAAAGATTTACTCAAAAAGCAACTTTAAACACGCATGTAAGGATTCACACAGGAGAGAAACCTTTCTGTTGTGATATGTGTGGACAAAGATTTAGCGATAAAGGAAATTTAAGCAAACACGTGAGAACCCACACAAGGCAGAAACCCACAGGACAGAAGCCTTTCTGTTGTGATCTCTGTGGGCAAAGATTTGGTTATAAAGGAAATTTAAAAATACACATGAAAAGCCACTTAGGACAGAAACCTTTCTGTTGTGATTTATGCGGTCAAAGATTTACCCGAAAAACAACTTTAAACACGCACATGAGAAGTCACACAGAACAGAAACCTTTCTGTTGTGACATCTGTGGACAAAGGTTTAATGAAAAATCAACTCTAAACAGGCACATGAGAATCCACACTGGAGAGAAACCTTTTTGTTGTGATTACTGTGGACAAAGATTCAATGACAAGGGAAATCTGAAGACACATATAAGAATTCACACTGGGCAGAAACCTTTCCGTTGTGATCTCTGTGGTCAAAGATTTACCCAAAAGGCAACCCTAAACAAACATATGAGTATACACACAGGAGAGAAACCTTTCTGTTGTGATCTCTGTGGACAGAAATTTAGTGATAGAGGCAAATTAAACAGACATGCACGAGTCCACACGGGACAGAAACCTTTTGTGTTGTAATTTCTATCGGCAAATAGTCAGCCAAAAGGGACATCAAAAGATTCATTATGGGTTCCAATTCTTGCTTTAAATGATTAAAGCAAGAATCCGCTAACCTGACAACAGCCAGATGCATGTCTAGCTCCGCCTAGCTCCACTCACATACATCTGGGAACCCGCCATAGGAATTGCCTTTACTGAAGGCTGGGCCTTATCAAAACTTCTTGCATATGATTGGATAAGCCACTTGTCTGTCATCTTTATCGACGTGCTATTTCAACCACTCACACCGAAGCTAACCCGTGACGCTGTGAGAGCTACGCAGGGAAAAAACAAAACAGAACAGCCGACATCTTGGATATAGCAACAGTGGAATCAGCGCAATGTCGGTAAATGATCAATGTCGTTTGTGCCATGAAAATGTGCTGATAAGAGGCAACATTGTGCACAGCAAACTTATTTAAAAAAAAGAAGCCAACCAAAAAAGTATAGATGAACGACTTACAGAAATCGCTTCTCCACTACGTCACATCCAGGAAACACCCGCCCTGCGTCTTGATTGGCCAGACCATACATTTGGTTGGGGAAATCACTTTCAATGAGCGGTGTCCCAGATGTATGTGAGTGGAGCTAGGCGGAGCTAGACATGCATCTGGCTGTTGTAAGATTAAGAATCCGCACCAAAACTGTACAATTGCCTTTGACTGTGAATCATTTGTGCATTAAAGGTATTTGTCACACTTGATGTTTTCAGCCTTTCTTTGATTATTGTTGTATTTAGAAACTTAGGGGTTTGTTTTGTTATATAATGGTTAATTTATTTTACAGGCCTCTTTGTGCTCTCTGTATTTTATCTATTTTTCAGACTGAATTATAGCAGAAATATTTTCTTAGTGTATGTAAACACATTTTCTCTAATACAGAGCCATTACTGTCACTGAGTGGATCATGAACTCATCTGTTTGCTTAAAGCAGTACTAAAGAATTCTCAGTTTTGGTCTATTTTTGGCTCCCTCCAGTGAACAAAAGCTGTATTGTTTTGCCTGAAGGAAGAAAACATTTCCCTTGAGGACCAGTGTGGTAAAGACCAGGTAAAATCCTGATCTCTCCATCACCTACAGTTGGATTGAACTACATTTCTATTTCCAGTACCTGTGTGAAAGATGAATAGCTAAAGGTAATGAATCTCGTCGCAAAACAATGTCATGACAATATTGAAAATTTTCTTACCGTATGGTTTTTCCTTTTTAATTTCACTGCATTCATCTGCAGTATGAAATTTGAATGCCATTGGCTCTGCTTCCTGAGCCAATGGCTTGCTTTTGTACCCAAAATTTTGGCTTTACGGTGTTCCAACAGTGTTGGATTTTTTCCTATATCATTGCACAGAGGGTGCTTATTGTGTCAAATTAATTGATTTGATTTAATATCTCTGGACATAAACTGGATCGGTTTGTCCTATGAAATTTAGCTGGGTAAAAATGAACCACCAAAACTTAAACAATGTACAGTCTGAGCTTGTTTTGAAATGACTAATAGATATGAAGTAAAACTTGAGGAGAAATGTTCTGGGTTTGTGAGTAGCGAGGAAACAGGAAGTGATTCTTGTGGAAGGAAAGAAACGAAGAAGATAGGAAGAGAGTAGAATTATAAAATCAGAAAAAGCAGAGATCAATTGAAAGGGAGTCCAGCTCAGAATAATCAAGTGATGAACAATCTTTAAATTCCACAGAAAAAAAACAAAATATTAGTAATATGAAAATGAAACTTGACATTTTTGATTTACTGCAAAAGGAATCAGGAAGCAGAGGATATCAGGTTATATTGGAGTTTTTGAAACAGATTAAATTGTATAACAGAATATAGTTTTGTTTTTTATGTTGTTTATTCACAAAGAAAATATAGATACACATTAGCCTGACGTAGTCCTACTCAATTCTAGTCAGAATAGGAGTCTGATACTGCTCCATAGAGCTGTGATTATGGGGCGTGTTTTGAACGAACCAGGAAAAAAATGCCTCTGCACTCAATTGGATAGACCTACAACCAATAAGAGCAACGGAGTGCGTGACGTATCTTAAGCGAGACCTAGTTGTTGTCCACAAAAATCAAAGCGTGCAGTTTCACGCCTAGAATAAGAAGATGAGACTTGATCGCGTTTCTCTGTTCCTCTTTTAAAATTAATTTGCTGTCGATATCTTCTAGAACAGACCTAATAGCAGAATCTACTCACCCAAACTATCCAGCGGCAGCCATTATTGTTGTCACCCAAGCGCGCATTGGTCACGTGGTTGATAACGTTACTCTTGATCATCTGTCCATCATCGTATAAAGCCCGCCCTGACAATTTGATTGGATCGCCTGACAGTGGGCTTTAATACTCGCGCTACTATGGAGCAGAGCCAGACCGAACTTCCCCGAACTCAAACCTTGTGGGCGGGACTAAGTTCGGACTGGCACCCAGGCTAGATACACATATGAAATCCATGTGATTTATGTGGACAAAGTTTTATCTGTAAAGGAGTTTTAAACACTCATATGAGAATCCACACAGGGCAGAAACCTTTCTGCTGTGATCTGTGTGGAGAGAGATTTAGCCAAAACATAACTTTAATTACACATGAGAGTCCACACAGGACAGAAACCTTACTGTTGTGATATGTGTGGTGAAAAATGTAGCCAAAAAACAACTTTAAACTATCACCTGAAGGTGCACACATGACAGAAACCTTTCTCTTGTGATATATGTGAACAAAGATTTACTCAGAAAACCCATTTAAATAGACACATAAGGGTCCACACAGGACTGTTTTATTCAAAAGTACCATCTAAATAGACACTCCAGAGTACACAAAAAAACAAGCTTCAGAGGTTATGCTGATCATAAAAAAAATAAATCAAAAAGCCTTTTGCTTTAACACAAATTTAACAAACTATTGATTGAAAGTCGTACTGTAAGTCCCACTTTTTTACAGATTATGCCCAGTGGTGCAACCTCTACTCCAGAGTGACTTAAAAATAAAATATACACCAGTAGATTCTCCACTAATTTGCCATAATAAAACAGATTTACGTGACAGAGTCACTCCCTGTTTTCAAAAGTCCAGAGCAAACAGGGTACTTAAGTATGATGTATGCTTACAGTTTTGTTCCAAGTTGGGTGGGGATGGATGGAATAATGGTTTCAGGATGACGAGAAGATATTTTGCACTGAAGACACACAGGAAGGAACCAGCCTTGGAATAAATTCCACTGGGTCATGTCTGAATACCAGTGGGTAGATTAGTAATCTCTGGGTTATAACTGTTTTAACATAACTACAGTAAAGCCTCTTTCCCTCTGAAAATAGTGTGTTAAAACAGATTTTTTCAAACATGGGTCGACCCACTATCAATTGGCATTTGGCTCCCTTCCCATTGGCAAACAAGCAGAGTCTAACCCATCTCTGTCCCCCCGCAGCTGCGTCTCTGGTGACACCATCACGCTTGGTTAGCGTTGATGATGTCGCCAGTGCGACAGAATGCAGGAAAGTAAACAATGGAGAGCAACATGTAGCAAAGCCAGGGTGTTATAATTTTCCTTTGTTGTCCATAAAGTGCTCATTTGGTTAAGATCTGATTTTGCAAGTTCAGCCTTCACATCAATTGGTGTCTTTATTTATTTTTATTTTTTTTTCTGAGATGCAGGTTTTGCTTTCCCATAGAAGCTGCTCCCCGGATTAACTTGTTGACTCATTTAAATACTTGCTTTGGGTTAGGGTTTTTCTTTGTTTTGTTTTTTGTTACCCCAATTATTTCAAATAGGGGATGCCTAGGCAATGTTGCACTCTGCAGTTCTACAATTATAACCTAGCAGATTAGTACATAGTCAGTCAGAACCAGACTGATTGGATCCTGCTCTAACACCCCAAAATCACATTACCTCTTCAGCACTTTATCCTTGTCAAGTTACGAGAGCCTCTCCTTTCTTCCTCAAAACCTTCACCAGTATTCCTTCAGTCTATGCATTTAGAAAAAGTGAGTTTAATACTACTATTTATAATCTGGTCATTATCTGCCACTTAATGTATTCTATTTGTGACCCTTTTTAAGCCTCACCCTACTAATGAGCATTTGTTAGCGCATTTGTTGACATTCTATTTCTTGGCTAAGTCACTGTTTTTTATTCTTTTGGATACCATTGGGCTAAGAATCAATCAATGGTTTGTTTGTGTTGTAAGAAAGTTCTTCTGGAACTTTTAAATTGTACTAAGTGACTGTTTGTGGTTGTTTTTCCTTGATTGTGCCCTTTCTTTTATCGTTTGTGCGGCATATCAGTCCCCCCTTAGTATTAGGGGTGTGCAAAATAATCACCATGACGATGCATCCTGATTCTAATTCTTGTGATCTACTGCATCGATTCTTGAAGGCAAGAATCGAGTCTTAATTTTAAAAAATGAACAAATAAAATACATGAATGGTTGGCGCACATCAGCCAAATCAAGTGGAATACAACTTCCAGTCCAGCAGATGTCGCTTCGGATGTGTTGACGCCTGCTGCCTTGTGTCACTAGCATTTCCGGCCGTGGGATACTGCAACGATGAAATTGATATGACGCACGTCATTTGCAAAAGCGGAAATATACATTTGAATGTTCTCGTTTCATTGGTTTAAAGGACCACTGAGGCCATGTAAACGGCAGTGATTATCCTTATTTTGTTATTTTAAGTTTGATGAAACCTAAGATCTTTTTGTCAGTGTGTCCACACCAGTAATAGTAATATTTGTGTCCAGTATTTGTTTTCATGGCAAGACCTCCAAAAGTCATTTCAATAAATACAGCTATGTATGAATTCAGTTGCTTTCAGTTATGTATCAATTGAAGAGACGGTCCAGATCATACCCAGCCAGTCAGCCACTGGTAATGGCTGTATCTTTTTCTTACAGTGTTCAGTGAAAATATCGCAATGCATCGCAATATTTCAAGTACCATGATGCATCGTGATAGAATCGCATCGTGGCCTGTGAATCGTGATTCGAATCGAATCATGACTTCTTTGCCAATACCCACCCCTACTTAGGATATTATAATAAACTGAACTGATGATTTTTTTCAATACTTGTAAGCATGTGTTTGTATATAGTTTAAGACTTTTTTGTTTTTGTTTTTTTTTTAGTTTTTGCTGCACTAGTGGCTCATTGTTTCAACAGTAGGCTGACAGGAAAGGGGGTATGAGAGAGGGGAAGAGACATGCAGCAAAGGACCACAGGAAGGATTAGAATCCAGGTAAGCTGCATCCAGGACATCCTCCGTACATGGGTCCAACTGCTGTGCCACCTGCACGCCCCAGGTTTAAGACTTGATAGGCTTTGAGAGTTTGCCACTTGCCCAAAACTTTAATACATACCAAGTTTCTAAAAACTCATCAGTGTTTAACAAATGAGAACCCAGATCACTATTAACACAGCACAAATAGGGGGGGGGGAGTTCTGCAACCAGCAGAACTCTGAGGCTAACTGCTGCCAGGGCTAACGTCTGCAGCAGCCCTCTCTCTAATCATGTGTGGAGTACTGCTGGCTCTGATGGAGTTTTTTCTTGTTTGTTTTGTTTTATTTTGCAAAATGTTAATTTGATTTGCTTTCCTGACAACTTCCTGACAACTTCTGTTGTATTAATTAAATACTTGCTTTATGATTTTAAAAGTGTAACATCTTGATGAAGTATTGTATACAGCCAATTTAGTTTAATCATTATTACCCTACTAA